CACAGTCCTTCAATCAGGATAGCTGTGCCACAAGCAGATCCCTCTCTGATCTTTGGCTTCCTGAGGGGCTCCTTGGGCAGGCCCAGCCTATGCCCTGCTTGGACAACTCTTTTAAGCTCTTTTAGCTCTGCTAATAAATGCCTGGCAGTGCCTCACTCTGCCAATAAACCCCAGCCTGAAGGCACTGAGCTCTAGCTCTGTAGGTTATGGGTCAACAAGCCTAGCTCCACTGACAAGCGCCCAGAGGCAACCCATTCCACCAGCAAGTCTCCTGCCCAAAGGCACTCAGCTTTCTCACTTATCTCCCGCCAATCTCCTGGTTCTGCTGCCTTTGCTGCTTCCATTCCTCTGCTGCTGATTCTCACCATCTCTCTAGTCTTACAGCTCTCCCTCTCTGTCTCCTCGGTCTAGGAAGGTGCCAGCACAGGGACCCTGGGCCCAAAGGATGTACTCTGCCCGTGTCTCTTGTGGTAATCATGTCCCCTCTGTGCACCTCTGGAATGTCTCATTTTAAGCCTAGTAAGATGCCAAAACTCATCAATCTTTTCATTAGGTTTCCATATACCATATGCACATGGTCCTACCCCACAATAGTGCCATGCACTTTATTTATATTATTAGCAAGCTGTCCAATTCCTTTGGTGGGCCACAAGCACCTCAGTTGCATAACCATACCAGTCATTTAGTGGGAATTAACAAAGATTATAGGTAGAAGGGCCATATTAAGTAATTCACTGTACCACAGTCCCAAACCTTAAATTCCCTTTACAATTCCCAGGTCTTCAAGTATGCCATGTGGAATAAAAGTGCCATTCTTTCCCTCTTCACAGAAAGTTATGATACATGAGGAAACATTACAACCAATTGGCTAAGGAACTGTGCAGATAACATGAAGCAGTAACAGCAGAGGCCAGTTCTTTTCCAATGGTGGCACAAGTAACATTAGGAAACCTTGATCTTGGAAGGTTGGCCATACAGGGATCAAATGAACAATCTTCATTTCTAGAGACAGTGCCAATTACTGGTTTTAAAAAAATAATTTTAAAAAAACCAACAACTAGTTCAAGGATATGATGGACCCCTAGACCAGAAGAACTAGATGGTGCCCGACTACCAATGCCAACCACTCAGAAAGGGATCAAACCTGGAGATCCCAGATAGAGTGGGAAGAAAAATGTGGAACAAACCCAAAAGCACAAAAATGACCAGAATTACTGGTTGGACAGAGTGTAGTAGAATCTCCAAAACTATGGCCTTTGGTTATCCTTTGGGCCTAGAATTGGACTCACTTCCATGGATTCACTCTCAGACCAACAGTAGAAAGACCTAGATGCAGAATACCTATCCCAGGGTGATGCACCCACCTACTCTACAGAGCTATACCCCTTAGAGCAGTCGGCCATGGGACACCACAGGGACAGCATTCACATAAAGGGAAAGCTGCGCAGACAGGAGTGCATAGTTAAGAAGGGCACAGGGAGGGGGAGAGAGTTTGTTATGGTCGGGGATGTTAACTGAGGCATGAAATCAAATGTGCATGAACTGTTGAATGTAAAACAAATTTTGCTCTATAAATTTGCACCCAAGGCACAATAAAATTTAAAAAAAAAAAAAAGGTTTTCAGGTAATACTGATACTGCTATTCCAGACCACACTTTGCGAACTACTAGTCTAGGAGTCTGGGTGGTAGAACAGCTCTCAGCTGCTAACCAAAATGTTAGCAGTTCAAATCTATCCAACAGCTCCACAGGAGAAAGATGTGATGATCTGTTCCCATAAAGATTATAGCTTAGAAAACCCTATAGGGCAGTTTTAGTCTGACACATGGGGTCACTGTAAGTTGGAATTGACTTGACAAAACACCCACAGTCTAGGCTACTTAGCATGACATAAATGCATCTTTTTAGTTCAGCCCATATTGACCTCTTCAGTCTATCTTTCCTACCTCCTGCCCCATACTTTATGATTCAGCAACATGGAACTGCTTATGGTTCACTTGGTAGTCATCATGCTGTTTCTTGCCTCTATGCCTATGTTCAAGCTCTGTCTTCTGAATGGAATATCTATCCCTTTCTATCTCCTTTATTTGCCTGGCTAATTTTATTTAACTTTAAAGAATCAATTTAGGTATCATTCCCTGATAGTCTTATCTATTATTTAATTGCCCCTTTCCTGCCCTCTGACTCCCGTCTGGATTAGATAATCCTCTAATGCTGGTAGCATAATGCCTAAGGCACTTGACTGCTAACCAGAAGGCTGACGGTTCAAACCCACCAGCCACTGCTCAGAAGGAAGGTTGGGCAATCCTACTTCCGTAGTGATACTGCCTCGGAAACCCAAGGAGGGGTCGCTATGAGTCAGGGCCGACTCGACGGCAAATAACAACAACAACAACTAATGCTCCCATATTGCTCTGAACATATTTCTATATTGCACTTATCATATTGTATTAGCATGAGTTTATGTGTGTCTATTTCTTCTATTTACACTGTAAATGCTTCACAACCAAGAAATGCACCTTTTTCTTTGTATGCACTGAGCATCCACACTGGAGGTAAATGATAAATTGATAGACAGAGGGAAGAAGAGAGAGGGAGAGTTAACCTTGCACCCTTGATCGCTAAAAAAAAAAAAAAAAACAAAACTCACTGCCATCGAGTTGGATCTGACTCATAGCGACCCCTCCTGGGGTCTCCGAAGCAGTATCCCTATGGAGAAGCTCTGGAAGTGTAGTGCCTAAGGCACTTAACTGCTAACTAGAAGGCTGGCAGTTCAAACCCACCAGCCATTCCTCGGAAGGAAGGCTGGGCAATCTACTTTCGTAGTGCTACCACCTCAGAAACCCAAGGAGGAGTCGCTATGAGTCAGGTCTGATTCCACGGCACGTAACAACAACATCCCTATGGAAGTAGATTGCCCAACTTTCCTTCTAAGGAGTGACTGGTGGGTTTGAACTGCCAGTCTTCTGGTTAGCAGTCAAAGTTTCAAGTGGCCATCTGGCAGTAAAAGGATTCTTTTCATTCTATCTGTTTGTTCTCTTGTAATGAATCTACAGAATTCCAGGGCAAATCAAATAACCAACACACCAGGGGCATACAGCAGTCAGATTTCTATTCTGCTAAACTATGACCCCTTCCTGTAGCATGCAGTCCTCTAATGTGGGAATGTTATGGTTTATGTGGCAATGTCTGACAGCTCTCATTTTCAGTTTGCCCTTAGTTGAACAAGGTATCTAATTATTAAAACTTAGGGCAATTTCAGTAATTTTTAATTGAAAAACTGTTGCCTTTTTTTATACAGATCACAGGAACCATCAATTGCATAATGAACTTGCAAAGGAGGTATTAACAGACTGCTTTGAACAGTTTAAATCTGTACTCAGGCCCTTTGGTTTTCTTATTCCTCTGTCTGTCCTTATGATTTATTATTCATTTCCATCCATGGCCTCATATAGGATGAAACATTTTAGCCAGGAGGAACCTTAAAGATCATTCAGTCCATTGATGTGAGGTACTATCAAGTCGTCTCTGAATAAAATAAACAAATAAATAAAAGAACCAACAACTCACTGCTGCCAAGTTAATTCTGAAGAATAACGATCCAATAAGACAGAGTAGAACTGCTTCACCGGGTTTCTAGGGCTGTGATCTTTATAGAAGCAGACTGCCACATCTTTTTCTTGCAGAGCAACTAGTAGGTTTCAGCCACCAACCTTTCAGTTAGCAGTCAAGAGCTTAACCACTGCACCACCAGGACTTGTTTTAAAAATCATGGTCCTCAGATGTTGGTTAAATATGACAATGCTTCCTCCCAAGCCTGTTTCACCTTTTTGTCTTCTTTATACTAGTAGCTGGCAATCAAGTCACATTAAAGTACAGAGAGAGTAATATAGGGCCCTATTCAAGTTAAGTTTTTCTCTAGTTTGATAGCCGGGTTTATGTAGCCTAGGGAGAAGAGCAGGGAAATAAATGTATGCAGAATTTTTCTTAACTCTTCATAGAAAATATAATAAAAAGATATCTTACTTTTCTAATAACCTAAGATGATTTATAGGATCAATTAAACCAGAACCCCAAACCCCTACTGCCATCAAGTTAATTCCAACTTATAGTGACCCTATAGGACAGGGAACTGCCCCATAAGGTTTCCAAGGCTGTAAATCTTTATGGAAGCTGATTGCTACATCCTTCTCCCACGGAGCACCTGGTGGGTTTGAACTGCCAACCTTTTGGTTAGCAGCTGAGCACTTACCCACTATAACACCAGGGCTCCTACTAAACCAACAATTATTTATCTTTAAAAAAAAAGGGGGGGGGGACATTGTTACAAGCAAGAATTAGTCAGAAATAGTCATGTTAAATCAAGCATGCTTTTAAGTTCCCTGAGGTGACATACAGACATACTATATAGCACAGTGTCACAAAAGAAAGTAAATTATTCACAAGGATCATTGAGAGTCAAATCAAACTTCTATTTCAACAAATACAACATACAAGATAAATCATATTGTTATGATTGGTTATTGCTACAAATTTATTCAAATCAAGAAAATTATCATATCAAAATAATTTTGGCACAGGTGATTCTTTTCTTTTCTTTTCAAGCATTTCTGATATTTTTTTTAAGTCCCTGAGCTAATCTTTTAGTAGGCTAAGTTTTGCACTCACTTCTCCCATCACCTCTCCCCACATTTGTGGCTTCCTGTGGCCTCATTGCTATTCCCTCTTTCACAAACCTGAAGCCTAAAAAGAGTTCTGAAGAAGATTAAAACTATATACTTCCCTCCCTCTAAGTCTTGGCTCCTGATCTCACCCTCATTTTAACTCTAGGTGGAGGTTTAATGCTATAACCTTTCTATCAAGCTTTCCTCTTGGAAATGGGGAGATTCTCTGACATAAAGCCTTGGCAGAATCCCTGCTCCCAGAAGCTCCCCACACAGCTCTTCCAATGCAGAGAAGTCACACAGGGTCCGTTCTGTGCATCCTAATTTCTAAAATTGCCTACCATGGTAAGTGTTTTAGGGGCTCCAGAGCTTTACGCCTCAGATGCTCATCCAAACACTGGATGGCAAAGAGGTCAACATTTGTGTCAAACTTATTGGCAAACAAGTGGTGTTTGTGTAACATCCAGTTCAAGTCCCCTGCCCCAAAAACACACACAGAGCGCACGTGGATGCCGTCGCAGGGTGGGTAAGGGGCGCCCTTGGAAACATCGCCTTCAAAATAGTGCCATTTGACAAACCTTGCAATCGAATGCATGTCAGACATGTCATATTTGTGGCTTGAGGGCAGTGCACCAGGGACTTCAGGGATCCTTTGAATGGTGGCCCAGAGATATTCATCAGGGCTGTATGTGTCTTTCGCCCATTCCATAAACTTGTGAATTTTTTCATTTCCTAGCACATATCCCACATAGTTCCTACTGACCACAAAATAGGCACTGCCTGAAAAAATGGGTGTTTCGAGAGGAGGACGCATTTTGTCTGCTCCTGTGTTTGTCAGCTTCCCGTTGATGACTTCATAACGCTTTTTCCACCTTTCCTCTTTACTGGCTGACATTTTCTCAGATTCAAGGTTGTTTTCACCCATTAACGACTTGAGCTTCCTGACGATTTCCAGGTTGGTTTTAATAGGAAAATCCATGCCACAAAGATTTATCAAGTACTTCCAGTCTGCACTCATTCTGTAGAGGTCCTTCATGCAATTGAGGTCTGCCTGGACGCGGCTCCATGAAGCATACACCACATTCTCCAGCCGGCTGGCTACAAAGACGTTACTGAAACAGGATGCAATGCCCATTACAGCACCTAAAAAGGAACTGTCGGACTTTTTGTCCACATGAATGCAATAGAAATTCTGAGGCATGTAGATGGCCCTCAGGAGCCTGTCGAGCATTTCAATTTTGTGGTGAACCACTATAGAATATGCGAGCGGAAACTCTGCCTCTTCTTTGCTAAGGGGTTCCACAATGTATTTGCGCTTTTTGATGAAAGATGTACAATCACCAGTCATGTTTATATAGTCATAGGTTGTCCACTGAGGGCGCTTTTTAAATTTCACTGTCAGCATTTCAAGCTTTACTTTTTGGATTTCATCTACATCACCCTGTAACACTTTGGTACAATTAATATTACTACTAGGATTCTCGTCTGTCAGTTGCAAATGATCAATGCTTACAAATTCAGACTTCTGATGAATTCTTAAAACAGAGAAGGTGACTACGGAAACAATGAGAACCAAGAAGCAGTATTTCATGGGATAACAAAAAAGTCTTCTCCGCAGCAACTTCCTCAGCATTTCAAACAATAGCCAGGGCCTTTGCTATTTAAGGGGCAGTCTTCTAGGCTTTGGACACCATTGATTTTCCCTCTTCCTTGGGAGTTGTCAGTTTGCATTTATCAGAGGTACAAAGACAACCTGAAATGGATGAGCACACTGAAAGAAAAACAGAAATGAAATATGTGAAAACAAAAATCTTTCACTACATCTTCTCACAGCCCAGCTGTTCTCCTTGCTATAAGAACAAATTCTGTAAGGTTTGATGTTCAAAACAAAGTAGGTCAATAGGAGAAAAGGGGTAGCATTATAGGAAACCCGCAGTCTCCAGCTTTTATGTTTGTATCAACAACAACAACAAATGGTAGCCATAACGATGCATTAAAATATGCTAGGATAAAAATTTAACCTGTTAAGCATGTACCAAAATCTCCATGTCAACTAGTGCATGCTGACTCATAGTGACCCTGTAGGACAGAGTAGAACTGCCCCATAGAGTTTGCAAGTCTGTAATCTTTACAGAAGCAGACTGCCACATTTTCCTCCCACAGAGCAGATTATGGGTTCAAATCATTGACCTTTTGGCTAGCAGCCAAGTAACATTTGAAGACCCACACCACAATTATTGAACTGTCCAGTTAGTAGATTTCTGATGCTACACCAATTCTAAGAATTAGCGTCCCTTGTTCTGAAGTCATTACTAATTTGAAAACATCTTGTGATCAAGTTTCTTAAATGCATGAGGCATCCAGCAATCATAGGTCCCATGGAACCATTAATGTCCATTATCTGGCTCCACCAGTCCTGAAGATTGGAAGACATCCTATTCATTCTACTCTTGGTTGATTTAGGATTAGGAATACACTTTGAAAGAAATTCACAAATAGCTGTGACTCCTAGACTCTTCTGAGAAGATGCAGATAAAATGAATTTTCAAACGAGATTAAAAGGTTCAACTGAAACCTGGCCAGACTTGGGACTTGGTTGAATTTACCACACACTGAATTCAGTTCCATGCCAGGCACTACAGAAAGGTAAAACATACACAACCCACAAGACACTGCTAGTTTTGCATGCCCTACATTGGTTATATTATAATTGAGCCTTGCAAAAAAAAACTATACACAAATTGTGATTTGTGACACATCTTTTGTCTATATGCAAATTCCCAAAACCCAATCAACTTCTAATGTTTAGGAGCTCTAGTGGCGTAGTGCCTAAGGCATTTATTTGACTGCTAATCAGAAATGTTTAAATATTGTATTATTTTAAAAAATCAATTTTGTAATTTAGCAACTGGTTCTACAGTAAGTGCTAGTTCTACAAAGGAAGTCAATTGTCTCCATATCAAATTTTTAGAGATTTTAAGCTAGTTTTTAGCACCACAATAAACACTAGAACTTTTTAATGTTTCATTAATGTTATGAATATTAATAATATAAGTAGTAATAAATAATTGAACATTACTAGCATATAATAATGTCAAGACAAGTATTTAAAAACTTTTTACCTGTTAGAATTAAGCAAAGTCTGGCTCATTTAGTCTTGACTCCAGGTAAGGTCCTATGGCCAATCAGAGCATATCTCATGTGATCAAGTTTCTTAAATGTACTAGGCATCCAGCAATCATGAGTCCCATGAGGCTTTTTTAAATATCTGTGAAATGAAAATGGAAATGTGTGATGGAAGTGTACATGCTTCTGTAAGTTGACACACATTCAGAAAGTATATTGGTGAACTAATTGTATATACTTACTTATTTCTCAAAATTATGCCTGATTCTTTTTTTTCCTCTTTTTAAAAATCTCCTCCTTTCCAGTCTTATTTTTCAGATACTGTATATGTATATTGATAAAAGTTTGAAAACATCCTGAAATGCACATTATTTGGGTTTTTTGAAAGAAAACTCTAGCAGCATTTTCCAAAAGTATATGCCAAAGAATGGTCCAATATGATGAGGAAATCTGACATACCCTATTTCTGACTCTGAAGATCTCCAGCGCTCACTATCATGTTGAAGACAATCCTCAGTGCTGCCCAACCATTCTAACAATCCCTCACACTCTCTATTAGAAAACAAACATTGTGAGACACCGCTCAAGAGAAATCCAGTCCACAGCACTGACGAATCTAAGCGAATAAAACAACACACTAAAAAAATTAAGCAATTTGAACCAAACCAACTGAAATAGAGAAGAGAAAAACAATGACATAAAGAAAAGCCAGTGAAACCAAAAGTGAGTTCTTTGAGGAGATCAACAAAATTGACAAACTTTTAGCTAAACTGATCAAGGGAAAAAAAAAAAGGCTCAGAATTCCTAAAATCAGAAATCAAAAAGGGGCCTACCAATCTTATGGAAATAAAAAAATGATTATAGGGAATACTATGAAAAAGTCTATTCCAATAAGTTAGGTACTCTAAATAAAGTAGAAAAATTCCTAGAAAGACACAAACTATGGACACTGACTCAAGAAAAAATAGATAATCTGAAGAGATCTACTTCGCATGAGTAACCAAGTCCAGGCCTACATTTGCTTCACGTGTTAATTTTACCAAACATTGAAATAATTAACACTGATCTTTAATTAGCTCTTCCAAAAATTAGAATTCTATGAGGCCAGTATTGCCCTGATACCAAAACCGAAGACATCACTAGAAAACTACAGACCAATATCTCTTACAAATATTGTTGTTGTTGTTGTTGTTGTTATGTGCCGTCAAGTCCTTACAAATATATAGATGCAAAATTCCTCAACAAATTCTACAGACTGAATGAGCAGCACATAGAAAGGATTATACACTATGATGATTAATTAGACAAAATTCAATACCCTTTCACAATAAAAACACTCAAATTACCAGGAATAGAATTTTCTCAAACTGATAAATGGCATCTACAGAAAAACATCAGCTAACATCATACTTTATGGTGAAAGACAGGATGCCTTCCCCGTAAGATGAGGAACAAAGCAAGGATGTCCCCTCTCACCATTTCTATTCAACACTTCATTCCAAGTTGCAATAAGAGTAATTAGGTGAGAAAAAGAAATAAATGCACCCAGACTGAAAAGGAGAAAACAAAATAATCTCTATTCACAGGTGACACAGAACTTATAAATACTGGAAAAACAAGGAGCAAAATGTGGCAGAGTAGAAGGGGTTAGCACTGGGAGGCCCAATCTTCCTTCACCTTCTGATTTCACAAAGGAAGCAGGTTCTTGCACAAAAGTGGGTGGGAATCGTGAGGCCAAAAACAGAATAAGAACCACTCTCCATAATAAACGCTCTTCAATTCCAAGAAAGCAATAAAAACACAAGTCCTAAACTCAGACTAAAAGGGTCCTGGTGGTGCAGTGGTTAAGCATTCATGTGCTAACCAAAAGGTCAGCAGTTTGAACCCAACAGCTGCTCTGTGGGAGAAAGATGTGGCGGTCTGCTTCCATAAAGATTACAGTCTTGGAAACTCTACAGAGGCAGTTCCATTTTATAGAGTCACTATGATTCAGAATTGACTTGACTTTTTGGTTTTAAAAACAGACTAAGACTTGCTCATTCGGGGTTTATAAGACCTGGCAACTATCATGAAGAAGGTTCTCCACTGGAACACTGATGCCTTTCCTCAAGAGATTTCTTTGTGGATACCACTATGAATATCTTTGACTAGAAACACAATACAAGAAATGGTAGAAGAAAATAATTTGACCATGTGAAGAAATAAGGTAAAATCAAATTCCCGAAAACAATAATTTTCAATAGGTGGTTTCTGAAAATTAAAATAAAGCAGGCCAGCCACTGTTGCCATGGAGTTCATTCTGACTTATCAATAACTCATGACTTTGTTTTACAAAGTAGAACTACTTCATAGGGTTTTCTTGGCTATAATCGTTATTACCATGGACTGCCAGAAGAACTAACAAATCTGACCTGGAAGAAGTGCAGCCAGAATGTTCCTTGGAAGTGAGAATGGCCAGACTTTGTCTCACCTACCTTGGTCATGTTGTCACAATGGACCATTCCCTGGAGAAGGGTATCATGCTTGGTGAAGTGGAGGGTCAACGAAAAAGGAGAAGGCCCTCAACAAGATGGACTGGCACAGTGGCTGCAATGATGGGCTCAGGTATAGCAAGGATTGTGAGGCTGGCACAGGACCGGGCAGTTTTTCATTCAGTTGTACATGGGGTCGCTATGAGTCGGAGCTGACTAGATGGCACCTAACAACCACCACCATCACCTTTATAGCAACAGATAGTCAAGACTTTCCTGCACAGTACTGCTAGGTGAGTCTGAACCATCAGTATTTACGGTAGCAGCCGATCACAAACTGCTCGTTCTGCCTAACAACCTTAAATCAAGTAGCAAAGAATACTAAATTCTATAAATGCTAAAAATAAACTCTAATCCTTTATAACTGCCAGTAATAAGGAGAGAGGAGCTAGTTCAGGAAGGGGAGAAAAGGAATAGTTAATAGAATTTCTCTGGGGTAACAGTATCAGTCACTAGAAGTGTTTTCAACATAACTGAATTACCACAACAGATAAAGTTTAGGGTGCAGCGGAGTACTTAATAGAGTGGGATGATAAACAAAATGACCTCAGGGAGAATGAAAGAGGAGGCAACAAGTAAAATCTGAAAAGCAGATGGATGAGGGGTGACTGATGAAGCAGACCCAAGAAGCCTAGGCTGACAGTATGAAAGAACCAACTCTAGTTACACTGCAAAATCCTCAAAAGGCTCAGGAATGGGGTACAGAGAGATATAAAGGGAGGTTGAGGGGATAGAGTGCTTTAAACAAAAATGAGAAGATTGATTGGCAGCCATTTACGAAGCAGCTGGATCTCTATCCCAACCTTGGCAAACACTCAAGATACAACAGAGGCGCTGCAGAGGTTTTCCAGGCTGGAGCTAACAGGCATAATGGAAGAGAAGGTCCCCATTACAGAACAGTGAAATTAATGAACTCAGGAGTTCCTGGGTGGTACAAATGATTAACATGCTTGGCCGCTAACTAAAAGTTTGGAAG